CTAGAACAACTGCGCTTTGTTAAAAATTCATTAAACAGAAAACGAGAGGTTATGTCTGGCGTTTCGTTAGTCATTGGTCTGCAATCCAAACTCTATTGGTTCAGTGCTGTTCGGGCTCTGTTGCTTTACAAGTAAGTCGACTCTTCGTGCTCCGGGGAGTTGCGCATTGTCAACACCAGATTAGGCATATCTTTTTCAGGTGATACAATCCCATACAATCGTGGCTACTTAACTGTACAATCGATCAGCATCACATTATTTCTGCCTGACCTATCGCAAATGTTAGCCACCACCACGGTGACGCCTCCTGTCACAGAACACAACTCAAATAAAGAAATATGGGTATATTGCTTAGGAGTCGAAGTCTATCTCTTAAAGGATTGGATCTGTGTTCGTTCTCTGGAGCTGTTCGAACACCGCAAAGATATCCTGGCGGAAGCAGATGGCAACGAGCGGCGCTGTTCTGCCAAGCGGCTGCTCAAGCAAAACCTACGCAAGGATCGCGAGACATGGTGGTCTGAATGTGCTTTAGAGATGGAGACCGCTGTCCTCTCTGGCAACAATCGCGGGCTTTTCTGACTCATTCCATCCACTGACCTCATGAAGCCTGGTGTCAGTGAGGTCATTTGCGAGGTGGATAAGTCTCCGATCACCAACCAACAATGGCGTATGGACCGCTGGGCGGAGCACATTAACTCGCAACTCAACTGGCCTCCACCATCCATCAGTACATGCGGTACATCTTGTTGTCCACCCTGGCTCGTCCCACTGAATCCACCCAGCCAAGCGGAAATCTGCCTCGAGATTCGACGTTTGAAGCGATTCAAGGCTGCCGGCTTAGACGGACTTCCTCCAGAGCTGTTCAGATACAGCGGCGCGGCGATGATTAACCAGCTGACCTCGCTGTCCGCAAAAATCTGGCATGAAGTGAAAGTGCCTTCCTCTTGGGGAGAATCAGTTATTGTCCTGATTTTCAAGAAGGATGCTCGCGATACATGGGTAAATCATCGCGCGATCAGTCTTATTTCTGTTGCCTCTAAGCTATTGGCATCCATCCTGCTTCGCAGACTATCCGCCGTACGTGAAGCATACTACCGTGAAGAACAAGCTGGTTTCCATCCCGATCGCGGATGCGTGGATCAAATATTCACGCTCTGCCGGCTCCTCGAACATCGCCACATTTATCACAGGCCCACTACCGTTGCATTCCTAAACATATATACCGCTTTTGACTCAGTTGATCGACTTGATTTATGGCGTTGATTGCTAAAGAACGGGGTGCCAGAGAAATATACCCCCATCTTACGAGCACTTTACATATATCCGGCAGTGAAGGTATATAGCAAGCTTTCCTCGCAATTCGCTGTCAATAGCGGTGTGCGACAGGGCTGCCCTATGTCCCCATTCCTCTTCAACTTCGCAATCGAAGTCGTTCTATCGAATGCTCTAGAAGATTTCCAACATTTTGGCCTAGAGCTTCTACCGAGTGAGTGCGCGACCGACTTCGATTATGCTGATGATATTGCCTTACTTGGTGACGATCCTCAGGGTATGCAACTCATTCTGGATCGTTTCGCGGTTGAAGCATCTAAGTGTGGCATAAGCTTCGCCCACTCGAAGTGTAAAGTACTGCTCAAAGACTGGCTTTCACTTGCTCCCGTGCTCACTCTCGAAGGTGCACAACTTGAACAGGTAGATGGTTACGTCTACCTTTGGAGCTGTGTTTCTGCTGATGGCACTGTCAACAAAGAAGTTTCTCTCCGCATCGCTAAAGCCCGATCAGCATTTGTCAATCTGAGGCACTTGTGGTGTCGTCGCGACGTCTCATTCTCGCTACAGGGCCGCGTTCATCTGTTCGCTCAATGTTGTTGTATAGGAGCGTGTCCTGACCGATTCGCGTGGAAGACATGCGTCATCTTTCTGGTTTCAATAACGGTTGCTTAAGGAGGAGTACTCGTGTTTGGTGGCAATATCGAGTTAATAGTAATGACGTCCGACGTCGCATCTTGGGGAATGCGAGTATTCCCTTCAACAAACAGGTTTTGTTGCACCAGTTGAGATGGCTCAGTCATGTCCTACGCATGGCACCTGAGCGTTTACCGCGTCGCGCTCTATTCGTTCGTCAAGGACCTGGCTGGAGGCGACCGGGTGGTTGTCAGCCTTCCACTCGGGGACATCACATGAAATCGCTGACGTCGTGTCTAGCTGCTGTTGTATCCGTGCGTCTTCCAGTATGGGGACCCAAAGATGAGTATTGCCAATGGCTTAACACACTTGAAGATATAGCCCGCAACCGGAATCAGTGGAAGAATTGTGCAGAGAATCATACCGATTCGCATGGTTAATACTTCAAACATTGAAAAAGATAAGAAAGAGAAAAATCGACGTGTGAAAAACAAACTAAAGATGTTTTGTTCTATTTTTTGTCAAAATGTTCCTTTCTTTTTGCGGCACAGTAGCTGAAGTGTGTTGCTCACCTTCAGCTACTATGCCACGATGATTATGACGCAATGACTTCTCCTGAGCTGCTAATCGCCATGGCCTTGTTGTTGGCTCTAGGTCTAGTTACTAGACTTTTGTGATTACACACATACTATTCGTTAACTCGTACACCCACCTAATGGAGGGCCCGGGGAGTTGTTGCTACGTGAACAATCGGCCTAAAAATATTAAGTAGCACAAGTACCTAAACGTGTCACTCATCGTTAAGCTTAGAGATGGGCGGCTCAAAGCAAAAATGTTCGAACAGGTGATCTCAACCGATGTTCTTGACCTTCTAGATTGTGTCCGGGCCTGATAAACATTGACGTTGAATCACTGAGAGGCATGGACATCGGTATTCCGCACCTTCACGTATTGGTAGCAATGAAAGGTATAATCTATTCGGAAAATCTGTGTTCGGCAACGCAACCTACCCCGTGCCACCTGCCGCTTGCTAAATCACCTAGCATCCACACACACGCTACTCACTCCTCAAAGGCCTGTCACTGTAGTTGACTCGAGGACAATGGATGGACCTCAACAACGACACGCCATAGTGCATTTGCTTTCCATCACTGCTGAGGTAACTGAGTCTTGATCCCAGAGCTGACATTTCCATGTACAATACGGTCCCTATCTTGCCAAGGTTGGACGATCGGAATTCAATGGATGTCAGCGCGACAAATGCGTTCACCTTTGATATATAAGCGGACGTTCATCACATCTAGACTCAGTCAGACATCTATCACACGCCTGGAGAAGCACTGTGTGGTCATTTCATGTTTTCGGGAAGAGCCAGCAGTGTGTATTTCCTCTGGCCCGTGTGGAGCTAGAACCTGCATCTCTCTTGTTATTACACCATGATGAAGAGCACTGAGGACGGTAACGACCGACGTGAATAAGTTACTGGATGCGATAAAACGCCGCTCACTGTCCACTGGTAGGACAGGCCCCTCACCAAGCGATGAACTTAGCCCGCCATTTAACTTGTGGCATTATAAGCAGTTTGCACTGCATACAAGGGAGTAGTAGGAGGATTTGAACGGCATGAGTAGAAGTTCATCACATTCGATATAAAGGAGCGTATGATAATAAGGAAGTGAGCTGTTGATGACGGGTGCGCTGTTACCACCGATGAGCACAAGTAGTCTGACTGTTGAAATTTAGAAGCACAGCCGGAAAACGTAAACACTGTGCACCTCTCCATACTAGCAAAAGAAATATCACAGGTGAAAATATTTGCAGAAAACGGACATGCGAATGTTCGATGGCGTTATCGGTGGAGCTTTTTCAAAGTAGAAACGACTCGTGGCTGGTAAAATCGGGTAACACTCCACCGTTACAAAAATGTGGTTAATGAAGACCAGACCCATAAGTTGGGAAAAACATAAAACTGACTAAAAGCAATTATACTGGCTGCGGGAGGGTGCTAAGGTTACCGGTAAACTTACTTCACTATTGTCAAGATCAGGGAGGCGGATGAGCCCATTCGCGAAAAACCCGCCAGGTGGTTCGGTTCTGATTGCGCTTGCCTCCGTCACCTGCTTCTGCTGTGGTATTTCAGGAAGTTGTCGGCGATATTTCCTCCTCCCTTGATGCGGCTCCGTCCGAATCACCATTGGTGCATCCGGTAAACTTGCTGTCCAAGTGGGCTGGAAATAGGGAACAGATGCGAGCAAATCGGTATTGTTTTGATAACATCTACTACTCGCGGGGTAGACAGTAGGGTAATAATTAAGCAAATAACCAGCCACGTTTCAACGTCGACCACGTGTCTGGCGAATAGACGGCTAGAACACCGCATAAATAAATAAATAAATGAAATGTTTATTCGCGACTACGCAAGGCACACCTGTATAGGCATGATCACCGCAAGAGTACAAAATGTTATCAGTTGATGTACAATGGGACAATAGGATTTTGGTGAAATCTCAATGATTTCATAAACATAGCTTTACCACCTATATGGAAGAGCACCAAGCGGCCGCTGCGATGAAATCAATAAAATACCGAAACTGTTTTTCAGATGACCCAGTGCGTGTACAACATTCAACAAGCAATCTCATCTCGGACCGCCATTACTTTGAAGTTAAATTCCGCTAATACGGTGATGGGACCGTACCTAAAGAATGCATTACGATGTGTTAGGAGCGAGCAATGCCGAAAGTTGGTGACTTGAAATACAATTATGTTAGTACAGTCCAAAATAATTGGCAGTCTCAACCGAGAGCTCGAAGCTTACTAGCAACAGCACCAGCAATAACTGGTGGGTCTAAACAGGATCGAAAGTAGATATAGAATCTAGCGTTCGAACGGAGCAACATTGAATGGTTATCCACCAAAATTCACGTTAGAGGACGCTTCGAGATGACAAGATTGGATTATTGGTGTTTCGGAATCCCGCTGCACAGAGCGTAGACCTGCTCAGGACCCGACCTAGTCAAATAATTTAGTTGCGAAAGGTTTACTGAAATGAAACAAGTAGTGTTGGTAACGAGCTGAAATATTAGTAGCTCGAGTTGGGTGTCGAACAATCGAACTGCTCAGCTCAGCAAGCAAACCAACAACTTTGCGCGAACTGATTAGTTTTAAAGTACCTAACGTTGGGCTGTCCATACTAGGCAACAGCCATGTCACTAGTGATGAAGTTGCTTTCAGCATAGCATTCAGCCAGCAGGCAACCCAAAGCGGTATCGCATAGTCATCAGCAACCATATTTAACAAGATTGTAAAGCTACGTGTCCGATCGGTGAAATTAAAACGATTCATCACATCGTAAAATCACCTCGGGCAAAAGCGGATGGACGTTTAATGTCAACAACATAGTGATACAAAACGGGATTGAAATAAGCCAAAAAATCCCTGATCTTGTCGAGTTTTGCCCTCCATCTGTTGTGTACTTAATGCTATTCTTTGTTCTTCGTGGGGTACCAAACGGGTGATTTATCCAATCTGAGTGACTTTATGGGTACAGTCATCGCATCGATGGGCTTCAGCAGTCCCGGTAGCTGCAACAATTTGTCACACCGCGCGGTATCATAAAGTCCAAAGTATGGTGAGCATAGATAGATGAAAACGTTCGAAATGGCATTCGTGCGATACTAAGCTAAGAAGACGCGTTGGTGTTATCCCAGATGCAAAGAATATTGAGCTCAAGACAAGTACTAATAAGAGGTCTCTCGTTATTGATTAAAACGTAGTTTCTACGTTCCAGATCTTATTTAATGACACCGTGAAGATTTTGCAGTTGGTTGCTTCGCTTGGCTAGGTCTAATTAATCTAGCTTCAATGTTGACAATTTGTGATAGAACTCCACCGTTCATTCATTACCTAATACTTCTGTAAACGATGTTCGGCACTACACCTTTCGGTAGTGCATTGCAACTTGTGATTAATCAGGTTTGACTTTCCTTACTGGCAGCTGGTTTCGTAGTCTACCAAAACGGAGGAAATAGCCTCAAAACTAACTTACTGTTGTTTGATACATCAAAGTAAGTATACCTGTTTCGGTGTGACTGAAACCACTGTGAGAGCCATAGTGTCAGCAGAGATTGACGAGATCTGGCTCTTAGAGTTACTGGCACCTGCTTCAGAAAAGATTATGTAAACCTCTACCAAAGTTCAGGATAGCAACCCGGATGTACGCTATCAGTGTATTGTGAACGGCTTCTGAGAAGTTGAAGTAAGAACGAACTATACTCTAACGCGATGCTAAAATCCGACCACCGGAAAGTGGATCTACGATGCGACGTTCGTCGGCATAGTCGCATGTTTCTGATCTCATTTCTCCGAAACCCCCGTATGAAAAATATGTGTTTCCCAGAAATACCATCGACCTCTGTGGACTCTCAAAAGTATGCTAATGGCGTGTTGTGCTTGGTAAGCGGTGCACCTGACGAATCCATCGTTATGCAATAGGGCGGTGATTTTCGATACACTGTGAATCTCCGTTCCCAAATATGTGTCAGTCTGTACAGTTTGTTATTCTGGAGATGTTCACGGTCCAAAGATATTTGCTTAGCATAGTATATTCATCTGGGTTTCCGGTGTCTCGGAGATGGGCCACGAGGTATTTACCTCATCCTTTATGTGAGTTCAGCCATGCGAACTTGGAATGCGCTTGCACCAATGCGCAAGAATGCTATTTCGGCGCAGTCACAGAAAATAGATTTTGATGTGAAGGGATTCCACGTCTGTTAGTTGTTTACTCCCGTCGTCGTTATCAGGAGCACAAAAATGGGTGAATCGTCGCGGCGTGTATGCCCACCATTTATACCTTCCCCGACAAGAGCCGACTACACTGAGTTGGATATGTATAACATGCGGGTCTGCCTTCGTGGCGCAGCGCATGTTGAGGTTAATGCCGCACGTGACCTACTTCTTCGCTTCAGATGAAGTGCATCGACATAGGTTAATTCAAAATAGTCTTAGTAGTTCACGTTACTATTTCAACAGAGTCATTGACTGAATTTCCAGGTATTCTTGCGATTTAGTTTCAAACATACGCAACATATCTGCAGTACGTTGACATCTGCTAGTGACAATTCCCACCGGTCTATCACTGACGGACGTTCACCACACCAACGGAGGAAGGTCGAAACTGGTCCTGTTTTTTGTAGCCAGAGATTGCTACGCACAAAGTGGCGATGCGTACACCGCCCGCTCCCTAAGAGGTCGGAAAATATGCGGTAGTAGGAGTTACTAGTTTAATCGGAGTTTAACCGGTTATCCGTTGCAGTTCATTAACCGCTTCAGTAAAACAACCACACGAGATCATGCACTAACAGTCCCAAAGAAGCCGATCCTCATTGAGCTGTCTTTCAAAAATGATCACATCATGAAGGCCGCCGAGATACTAATAAGTGCTTCACTGAAAAGACGCGACACAACTGCGGCCGCTCACTTCGACGACACCTAGACTTATGCGTTCGATCACGACAAGGACGTCAAGGCAGTGCACGTCCAAAAGTCTATACAAATTCAACTTTGGCTGTGGAGACAGCTATGTTGGGTTGTTTAAGTGTCAGTATCAATGAACGCACTCTAAGATGGTTACGCAGCTGGATGGGATCTGTGACGGCGGAATCAGTAGAACGGGGGAAACCGAACTGCCTCAGAAGTCACAAGGCACTTGCTAACCACGGGACACTGAATGTATCCTGATGGGTCTTTCACAGTCCTAATGCGCGATCAGCGGCCCTACATCCCTAGATTACTGGAAGCCATCGTTATCGAGCACGAACGCTCACCGTTGTGCATTCGAAAACAGTTGACTGTGGCCCTAAACCTACCTTGGTAGCGCAAGTGCTTGGTAATGTACGATCTCATATGACACTGTTTCGGTTCATCTATCACAATTGCACGTTTGTGATTGATGAGAAAGCCAGGAATGACTAGGTCATCTCAAAATTACATCTTCTGAGTTTCCTGTTTGGATGTATAAAACCATTTAGTGTTTCACATTCTATAATAATGGTTTAAGTTATGGAAAGGAGCGCAGCCCAGTCGTCGCCCTGCACACATCCAATGTTCATTTTATTTCCAGCGTTACAAAAGCGACGCGCATGTTGAGGAAGTGGGCTGGCTCCGAACTAATCGTGACTCTCGCCCTTTCGGATCTACACTAGATATAGTGTGTGCAGAGCCGTGAGTGGTGCAGCGCGTCACCCATAGTAACGCTGTAAGCACAGCCTCATTGCGGCTGTTCGCGGAGAGCCAAACCGACAGCAAGGTTTAAAGCAACGCACCGCCATGCTCTTAGTCGCATCAGTAGTTACTTACTGATCCTGGGAACACCAACTAAGTTCGCTAGACAACGGAAATCATGCGTGCTAATGAAGTGCATGCACAGCCCGGAATCAAAGGTGGCTCCCTTGAGACATTAGCAACCTCAGTAACAATTCATAAAACGAGGGTGTTGAGAATATGAGAGACATAGGTGGTGATCGAAGCAAAATGCTGCTGTTAAGTTGACGCGGCGCTTAGGTGGTGTGTTATGTTGTTAGAGTCCAGGCTGCACTGGACTCTCTTCTTGCACTCTCAGTGATGACACATAGAATGACTGGTGTGTTACATTTTCCAAGAGGTACCTAATAGCAGATCAAAAGGGCTGTTCGAGGTACGATGTGAGTTTGGTCTAAGAGTAAACTTCAGTACTTTTCGTGATTTCACGAGGACGTGCTTCGGCAGCTTATCATCAAACGTTCAGAAATAAGTATTTGCAAAAGCTATTGGATCATTAAGTCTGCAAACTAACTATTAAAAAACATCTCAGTGAGGGCGGAATGAGTTCACGGCCTGAATACACATACCGTTTTCATATCCGCATAAAGTTCGTTTGTCTTTGGGGGAGGCACTAGGGCGAAATCACGGGGAACACTCCTGTAGATTGTGTAATCGGAAACGTCCAGCTGCTGGCGCCGCCGTCCTTGAATGCCTTTGGTACGAGATCCAGGATAGACATTAGGCTGTAATATGGCAGCTCCGATTGAGGGGGCAGGGCTAGGCGTGTCACCTCTGGCATACGCAGACAGTCGATCACTGCCACTTTCTGTGGAATCAGGGGAACTTGGCTCAGCGTAACTTGCAATCATTGGTGTCATTACGCTTCTAAGTGTGCGACGGTTGACTTGCTCTGATCGACTGAGAGGATAATGGAGAGGAATGGGTCGTGTGTAGTCCCTGTCGTTTGAGATGTGTTGCTGGGACATGACCTGCTGTGACCTGGAACGATATAGACGCATAGAAAATTTGGTGAACGACAGATACAGTAAGTGCAGTTTCATCGAGCTTAGACTAATGATGCTATGGAAAATGTAATGTGTACCACACTTATGTGATGGCCCATCATTAGACACAGCTGAGCAACAAAACGCGAATTACAATCAGTGGGTAAAATTCGGTTAATATCCAGGTTAAAATTTCCGTAATACTGGCTTCTCCTGCTTCCACACTTTCCGGATTACCGATCGATGAGACAATGCACTTTGGGAGTTGCCTGTGTTGACTGTTCAACTGACGACATTTACTAGTAACTTTGCCGGTCTCCGTCATCTCGGCACCAGCGTAATCTCAGCTGCTCCCTAAAAGATCGAAACTATGGTATCTTAGCCTTACGACTGCGAAACGATCCTTTCGTGCGCACCATGTCCAGTGGTTGTCTTTCATCACCGTTACCTCGGAGCACTACCTAGGTACCATGGTAACATAACATCAACGGTGATGGCGTTAATTGACGGATGCTTGTATCGAGCAACTGAGCCCTATTGAAATGCAAAATTGTTCTAGAGAGACTTTGATGGCTTGAACACGTGTTTTACGTGACTGACCAGTATTTTATCTAGTGAGCAGACGTCGGCTGGAAGCAACGAGTTGGTTTCAAGGTAGCTGTGGTAGGACTCCACCGACTCACGCCTTGAAAACTATAGGAGAGTGAGCAGCTCACGCTGGAAACCCTCTTCGGCATCATTAAAAATTATGTTCAATGGTGTACATGTTGTGAGAGACTGCTCCGTTCTTCACTTATTCATTTTCTCTTATTTTCAGACAGTTGTGCTTTCGCCGATAGATTTTCCCAAAAGCAGTAGGAACAATATACCTGCCATGTATGGACCGGAGAGAATCGTGACCAATAAGTTACTGACTGCACTGCGGACAAAGTGGGAACCCTTGTGTTAGATACAGATGCCAAAGGGCTGATTTCCAAGTTTCACCCACTCGCCGAGCTTGGTAACTGGGGTGGAACCGTTTCATCACCAAACGAGGTGACTTTCTTAGTACGTTATATTGTGTCGAGTGCAGTCTCGTTGATTTTGTTGTCGATCTGTGGTTGACGAGTAGGTGCCTTTCGAATTGACCTCCTCGATTTTTGCCACGTGACCCGTCACCCGTTTTCCAAGATCTCTGATAGTCAAGGGTCATCCGTGTGATGGTTTCGCCCTGGTGGTTACGGTTGTGCTATTGATGGCTCGTTTGGCTTCCCCCGGCGGTTTCTAAGCCGTTTTAACGATCTCCATCTTAACGTTTTGTAAACTGGGTCAATTTTGATGTAAATGTTTATTGAGTGCGTCATTGAGTAACATGCTAGGAGGAACTCTCTTCCTTTTCGTGTTTCCCTTGTGCTAAACAATAATAATAATAGTGTGTCAGCTGAACGCCGTAACGGCGCTTCGCTGCCGCGCGACCACCACCAGTCGCGCGCGGGCTGAGTATACCGCGAGGACGCCCACCCCTACGCGGATTCGAACCGGTGATCTTATGGTTGCAAGGCAAACAAGAAGCAATTTGCTTCTACATCCGTATGTGATGGAACCAGGGAGAGTGCGTAGTGGTTCTTATAGCCCCTGTTATGTGTTTGCATCCTAATTGACAGTTTCCTTCCTGTCTGACCCACATAGTTCTTATCGCAATCTTGATATCGTATCTTGTACACAACATTCCATCGTTCGTGAGCTCCAGAAGGCACTTGAAAACATTCGGAAAGCATTATCGTCTCGCCTAGTCAAATTGTCTGTACAAACATGTATTTTCGCATGAAATTTGACAAAGAAAACCACTTGCTTTTCGATGTATGTGATGATTGTCAAGCTGCTAGAAGCATAACGAACAATTCACGGCACAAAGTGTGCTCAGGCTCATGTGAGCGCACTCACTCCATGAGGTGTAGAGCTTTCGAGGTGTTATGTTCAGATGAACGTGTTTGAGGCTTTTTGGGTAGCTCCTCGAAGCTGGAGTTCCACTCCTCGTGTTCCTCGGGTAACGCTTCCCCGTAGTCCCACTTAGATGAAACCTAGTTGAGAGTGAGGAAAAAAAGCAGTGTTAGCATACTCTTACGCGTGTGCCAGTGTTTCTTACTATGAAGACAAAGACTGCAGTCTACTCGTACCCACCTGTGTGGCCGATACTGCTTCTAGTTCGTTCCTCGAAGTGACTGTTGGAAGTATTTTTGAGGGAACAGGTGGCAAGCGCCTTGAATGAGTGAAGGAGCGAGAGAGTTTGCGTATATCATCAGCCAAGGCGTTCTGAGTAGACGTCGACAAGTGTGGGTCCATAGGTACCGACTTGTCCACTTCCGGGGGTGAGCCGCTGTTTGTTTCTGAAGGAGATGTCCGTTCAAGGTCATACTGACTGGGGATCCTGGCTGAGGTTGGCGCAGGTCTGGAGCCACTCACTCGATGAAGTGCCTGCATCATTGTGCCGAACAGACCGGGGTGCTGTGAAAAGAAAAGATTGAATAAGGGTGCAAGTACTTTGGAAAGTGACTTACTTTGGAAGTGACTGCCTGACTGACTGACTGACTTTGGAAGTGACTTAGGCTTCACGCCTACTCTGTCACTGATGGATCAGCAAAAGAGTTGGAATCACAGATGAATTTTAACAGTCACCAAGAAATTAGCAAACAGATTGGTGGCCGCATCAATAATGCGCACTCCTTCAGAATTTTTGATTCAGATTTGTACATGTGTTTGTACACATTATTGTCTGCGGCAGCCGGGCGATGACGTTGGCGGTCGATGTGACTAGACTAACAGTGAAGAGTTGACCAGTCTCATTTGGACAAACAGCAGTGGACCATCGGTTCGCAGGACTTTTGGTTACTGTATGATCAAGTGTTTCTTTGGAAAACCTGCTTGAAATCGCCCCAATAAGGCAAGTAACACGCAAAGGTTGAAACGGGAGGGTTTGTGGAATCCGTAAGCTCACAATTACCCAATCCGCTTAAAAAAGCTTTAACTTTTCGATAGTTTATGGTCATGAACCGCGAGGTTCTGGTATGCGAAATAAGGCGGCAAGTAATGTGTGCCGTCTCACATCTATCGTTTGTCATTTGAGTGACTAGGCGGTTACCTGAAGCGGTTAAAATGCAAACATATTTTGGAGGATTTCAAAATGTTCTAAATGATAACCGTTAGCACACGGTTATGCGCAACGAAGCATTAGACCCACCTCTCTCATGTTCCATAGACATGGCGCTAAAAATGCTGAGAAGAGTCGGCTGACGTCAATAGCACACATAATTTTGAGCGTGACACGGCGGGTTAGGAACCATCGGAGTCAAACTAGGTTCCCCAATACGAACACCAGATGCAGTTGTGATTTGACATGAGTTGGATATTTGCAGCCGCATCTGTGGAGCCAAACCTCCTCTACCTCGTCAGTGTATGCCATTGATAGGATCAAAACGGTGACGCACGTAACGTATCAGCCTGCTCTACTTGGGAGCAGATGTCTAAAAAGGAGAAGCACTATGCTGGGTTCTTGTGGAGGACGACGGCAGGGTTGACTTACACATCTTCCTGCAAACGCCTAACACGTTCGTGAGGTTTCATGTGAAGAATACCAGTCAGGCGTACGACCTGGCTGCATTTGAGACCCCAAGGCGAATAGCCACTGGAGATGGCATGGAATCACTTTATTTTCAATATCAACTTAGACTGCAAAGCTTAGGAGCGTACAGTAGAAGGTTTTGTTGACTAGGAAGTGTTATCATACTGACCTACCAGTTACGTTTGCCGCCAACTGAAGCGTAGCCATAACACCAGCCAGAGGAGATCCCAAGTGGAACTGGTTATGCAATACAGCCGGTTGGAAGTTCATCTGGACTAGTCTCCTCCTTGAACTTGCCAGCAATGGAGCGCTCTTCTGAACTATTTCACTTCTGCGCTAACGTTACCTTCAGTTGAAAAACAACTCGATGATGCATTAAACAACTGTATCACTTGGAATGGTTCGCGTTCACTGGGTGATGACAAAATGCAAACAAATACTGTGCCTCGCCCTCCCCAATGCAACAGAAGTGGACGCATTTATATCCACGTTAATCCGAATATCACAGTGAGTCCACATAAGTGCGCTGTTTACATTGTTGACAGCATTTTCGTTGAACTTTCGTCTTCTCCCTGACCATCGCTAGCAGATTTGTTAAGGTTCAACATGTTATCCGCATTAAAACAATGTTCCATCGTGCCTTGCAATGGCTCGGTAAATGGGATAAGTGTGTCAAGTCATACACATAATGGGCACGGTGGAACAGCATATGATTTGCGAAGTTCCAGCTCCACACATAAGACGCAGTGGTTCGTCTATTGCACTCAGTGTTGTCGTCGCTAGACCCGTGTCTGGTTCCTCGACTACAGCAACACCTTCGGTTGTGTTAATCGTAAACTGCTGTTGCAACATCTACAGACGTCTGATGTTCAACCTTCCCTAGTATCCTTGCTAAAGGATTATTTCCCCAAATACACTCAGGTGACCAGGTTTGTGGTAAAAGCTCCTCACTACTTACCGCAACATCCCCGGTGTCCATCAAGGAGCTATTTTGTCCCCATTTCTGTACTCTACCTATCTTAGGTCTATACTTGTTCCAGAAGAAACCATTAGATTAAAACATACTGAAAACGTTATCATTGGCGTGAATCATCAAACCTCGGCCACATCAGCCAAGCTACAAAATTGTTTGGACGAATCAGTGCAACTGTTAAACTCCCGATGGTTAACGCTGAAAGCGTTCTCACTTCATAAGGCAGCTCGTTATCAGGAACGTGTCAAAGAATGTCCCAAACTTCAGACTGAAGGTGACAGTTTAGCTTCTGTACGTCAGTGAAGTATCTGGGAAGTATCTTGATCACGATTTGTCGTGATCACTCTATCAAATATTCATCAAAGTCAGGCGACTTTCGTTTTACGTCACTCGATTGGGATCATCCTGCGTACCATACAATTTGATTCCGAAGTCCAGTCTACCACACTGGACTTTTTGTTCTTCGGTGATTTTTCCATCCCCGGTGTGTAAGCATTTCAAGCTGCTTGACAGGTCAATGAAGCACTCGTTTCGCTGAAGTAGCATTCCAAATAGAAGTTTGGCTAAAACACTAGTATGGACGCACGCAAATTAATGCACTAAACTTGCTTCTAAGATATCGAGATTAGTCACCCTCTTAACACCGCACTTTCCAACTGTAAATCTACCTCGTCGACCAGATAAAAGTATGGAGCAATATATGTGCCCGCACGAGGGCTTATGGTTCGTCGGTCATTCCTTATTTAACCTGATTTCTATTTGATCAAAACTCTATTAATCAAGAACTGACCGGTAAATTATGCCATTGAAGTTGTGTTTCATTAAGATTTTCCTTTTCTTTCGCCTTTGAATTTCTGTTATTTGTCATGTCGACAGCATGTGTGCCACAGCTGAAAATTCACCCGTCACAGGTGAAGAAAAGCGAATTCTTGACTGACTGACAACTCAAAAAGAAGACATTAAGGTTGGTTGGTGTAGATCGGTAAGTGCAACGGAACAGGATAGACCATAATTACCCATAAACCGGCGTTCTGAGATATTCAAAGCAGTTCCCTACAACAATTTTAAAAGCACGGAAAGAAGACGAAGGCTGGTAGATGCATGCATTTGGTATTGTCTCCTCAGTACCATTAACAATAAACGATATGCATAGATATAGCTAACAGTGGGTGCAACCAGACAAGCTTAATGTGCAAAATGAATGACGGAAGTTCACACCTACGTCCCAGGCAGCTTTAGGCTGACAAATAATTGTTTCTGAACACACAAGGTTGGCTAAATCCGGCTTATGGCGATAGCCTCAGCAAACCGAAGGAAGAGGAGATTAGTGTGATGTAACACAACTTTAAACGCTGAGACCAGCTCTATCTGGTGACCCGAGTCTAATAGGTGTTTGCCTATCGAGGAAGCCGGCGGTCTGCGCGAACATGGAGTCTGACGACGGTAGGCAATCTGAGCAACTTCACGTTGAACCCATCTTGGCACATGTTCCTTTATTCAGGAAGTCAGCGTTCTATTGGTTCTGCCTATGTCACTTTTTCCGCAGTCACATACAAATTGGTATACACAGTGTAAGTTGACCCAAATAAGCTGAGCTTGCTTCGTTGGAGGTATGGGCAAATTCCGGGTTCGGTTGATGACGACAACTTGTGTAGCATAGTAACTTCCTTGTGTAGCCGAAATTATACGCTTAGTTGTCTTCACCGTGGCTAAGTCACCCTTAAAAGGTAACTCGATATACACTTTCTTCTTGGCTGTCGTGTGCACCAAGTCCTTTGGCCCTCGCGGTTGGCTGTGTCTCTCGATAAATCTTCGAGGATAGCCGTTCGCCATTAGTGTTGCTGTAATTAACACTAGCTCCTCGTCCAGACAGTCCGCCGAATAAATTCGTCTGGCACGACTAACTAGAGTCTTCACAAAAGTCCGTTTGTACCGCATTGGTGAAGTGCAGGTACAGACTGGACCAAGTTGATTTTAGGTAAATGGACCTCTTAATCAATCCCTCATCCCTGCGACTTATGAGTATGTCCAGGTATGGTAGACAATTGTTTTGTTCTATTTCACATGTAACCCGTAAGTTAGCATGAGCACTATTGAGCCGTTCTACCAAATGTGTGAGCTGCTGCTCCGACGAACAGAAAGCCAAGATATCATCGACATATAGTAGTAGGGCACCTGGGCTATATCCGTAGAAATGCTTCTTTCTGCCATCAGCAGTGGTTGCACCCACTGTTAGCTATATCTATGCATATCGGTTATTGTTAATGGTATTGAGGAGACAATACGAAATGCTTGCATCTACCAGCCTTCGTCTTCTTTTCGTGCTGTTCAGAGGTATGTTTTTGATTTGGTCTCTACAAACTATCATAAAATAACAGCAAGGGAGCATGGTTGAGAGGCGTATTCAGTGAAGGATGGGACAACACTTCCTTTTGGATGAAACTTATAACATACATTATCTGATTCAGTCAGGCTTCCAGATCCCCGTTTGGCAGCAGTTTCCGTTGTACCAGAAGCGGCAGCTGCTGCTGCGTTTGGCTCCACAAGTAGTATTGACTGTCGACTCTGTAATGAGAGAGAGATTTAAAACTGTACATGCTGAGTACGTTTAATATACTGTTGTTTTCACACCAGAGTGAAAGAGACGAGTGACTAATTCTAAGAGATGTCACAGTGCTGATATTGCAAAACTTTTCCAGGCACAAGCTAAGAGTTGGCAGCCCACAGTTTAGCTCTCATTCGCACACTGCATTTGTCCACTCCAGTGTCGACTAGCTAAGAATTAGGCGATCGGTTACCCGCTTCCAGTTAGCAGTCAGGATAGGGGCATGGAACGCTTTACAGCATGTGTTCTGTTAATGAATGTGTGTGGGCGCAAGCCCATTGATGCGCCGTTAATCACACGAATATGCTGAATGGTTGTGGGACACCAGTTCGGTGCTGCACAACGCGCTGTGCTCAGGGTCGGTTAATAGTGGTGCGACAAATTTTGGTAAGTAAACCGGGTACAATTAATTGCGGGGCGTTGCCTGCTCCTGATACGGTGTACACCAATCTATCCACACAAAGAGCACTCAAAATAAACCAACCACTTACTTTGAAAGGCAGTATGGAGTGCCGCTTCCCCTGAAGAAAAATAAAAACAAAAATGGGAGGTCTAAGTTGCCAACTGAAACGCATACGTAGATTTTAAATCTGAGTGTACATAAGCACTTTGCTACTATGTAACGTGATAGCCACGCATTTTGCTCCTATACAGCAGCTGATCCTAAGACAGCGGGAGTTGAAATTTGGAGCTACACCGTCAAATTGCACCAGAAAACCTACTGTAGAGGCTAAATGTACCGCATTTTACCCGCTGTCAATGTTGCAGTCCACGGCAATCCCAACTCCTTTTTTAGGTATTAAAGCCAGAGGAATACTCACTGCTAGAGAGGCGCGCTAACCTCTCGACAAATCCATCCCACTAACCAATTTTTAGGGGCACCGGCCCAAACACACTATGAGTATCCAGTGCATTTGACGGTGCTTATTTCGCAATGCAACTGGCGTGCAATTAGCCATTGGAGAAAAGTGGTATACACAACAGCCCGTGCTGAAAAGGGGACAGAAATAGACCAAAGTTCGCGGTGGAATCCTCCAGATCCCTCACTGCGGGTGCGCTATAAACACCCGCCATCCAGTTCCGATGTGGCAACGCATGTGCAGAGTTTGGTTGACCACTTCGATGGTACCCAGAAGTGGACCATATGGACTACACGGCGCATTGTATCCCGATCGAATAGAATCACTAGATACAGCGTTAGTTTGTCGAAAGACACGAAGCGAGGCACTGCAGGTTACTGATCCTACAAGTACGTAAGTGGAACGCTTCGAGGACGAAATACCTGCTGGAATTGCATATGCATCATGTGTGGACTGCCTTCATTATGGCATGTCTAAGACAACCGCTCGCAACTTATCCAAACGGTTTGCTTTTCCAACAGCTGTATCATCTCAAGGTGAATTTACTGAAAACTTCCCCATACGGATCAGCAGTGTTCAGAGCAAATGGACATGGTGCGGTATCTGTTACAGGCTGATGAACAGTGTTCAAAGATGCCTTAGTGTCTTAGGTACTTGTCCCTGGTCTTCACTGTCGGAGAAGTACCAATCGTGTCCAGGGAGAATGTCTCTGGACCAGTACCAATGTCCACTGACCGGCTTTTGGTAACAAACCTTCTGGCGTCGTACCGGGTCGTCAGGACTAACAGTTGATTAGTTCAGAACATGCCCCGTTTTAACGCTAGCGAATGCAATGTATTTAGGATCCGCCACCGGAGAACCTACCAGTATCGACGATGAGCGCAATTCCCTAAGAGTGATTGATTGTCGGGTCTTGGAGTACTCGCCGTGTGTCTGCATTGCGACATGCAATCTCACACTGAGCCATAGTTGAGTTTTAATTCAACTCGAGTGATTTCAACCGCTGTATCCGAAGCGGGAGTTTACGGTGTTTCCGGCCAGCAACAGTGCATCCCGCGACCGGTTTCGTCCCAGGTTGGACTCCTCAAAGAAAGACAGGCTGAGCTAAGAGTGGAAAACGGCACCATGACCACTAGGCCAATGAGATCCGTGAGCAACACTTAAACTAAGAGTGCTTGTACGAGACGATGTCGGTTGCTTCAGGTAGGCCGAATAATGCAGCGAAAAGGCAGCCAACACAACTGACTATTCGATATTCATTTGCCCGGTTTGTTTCTACCATCTTTCGCAAATTTTCAACATTTACATGAGGCTCAATGCACTGTTCAAATCTGGCACCATTCGCAAAAGCATCCTCTTGTTGTTCTCGGAAGTTTACAAGGAAGGGTAGTTGAAAATGCTGGGGACTTGCTTAATATCCCATACGAATTTAGGCTGAAGACGATAGGAGTTTTCAACGGACAATATCTTCGACACTTATTGAAACACATCCACAACACTTCACTGAGAGGCCACAACAGGAAGTTAGTGACACAGTATGGCTGGTTGAGATTTTGTTGGAACTTCTTCTCACTTCGTGTCTTTCCTCCAATTTCTGATACCTCCACTCCTACGCTAACCGAATTCAAAACTAAGCTCGACTATGCAGTAATCCGCCGACATTGCATGATCTAGGCCAACTTATTGGGACACGGCATAACGTAACCAAAATGTGCGCACCTGTTAACTTTATGGCGAGTCCACCGATACGCGTTAGTTTGCTCTTCTCACCCAAGAGGCTTGTTAAGCATTTGATATTTTGTGCCTGTGATCAATTCATTGTTTACTTGAGGCACCTTCACGTAGTTGTCAACAAGCAGCATCTTGCGCCCACCTCTGATACCGAGCATTGTTACGTGATGTCCCAAAGTTTCTAGTCAATGCGTTACCAAATACGAGCGCGAAAGCTGTCAGAAAATATGTGGAATGTATATTTCCTGGATGGAAGCCCCCACTGTTTCGTTAGTTAGTGGACTATTGTGTCAGGGCTGTCAACAGAAAGTCTTGATCAATTAGTTCCATTGCAAGTGGCGTACGATCGCATAGTTCAAATGCTCTGACCCATCACGCGTTCACTTCTCGTCGTTTTGGCGCACACTGTTGCGCGTGCACGTTAGTATTGGATCTGACATTCAATTTCTCTAATCCACCGGTGATCAGCTTACCAGATCATACCGATACAGACATGTATCACATAGTCGACATTAAAAGTTTATCTATTTATCCGGATGTTAATTGTTCGGACCAATGAATCTTCACCTCATTTAGATTCCTTTACTTTACCGTCCCCGCCATTCTTGCCTAGCGTTGTCGTGTTGGCGCGCGGGGCACGGCAAATGGATCAATATCAGCTCGGTAACGAGAGCACAGTTAACTAGTTGGACTGAAAGAAATTTACGCCATCCAAATCTACATGATAATCACCACTCTGACAAAAGTGCTTATAATGTCATAAGTGCTGGTCTAAGCTTGGAAAGTTGTGGCTACCCTGTCCCCGTTACGTTAGTTAGGTGCTGGTCCGCAGAGAATGAGTTGCACTACATGCATCTAGTAACAGATATGCGGGCCATTATGGTCCACTGTGGTCCAGTGATCTTAACCACGGATTTGGAAGAGTAGGGTTGCGGGTTATGGCCCCACAGGTGTCCGAAGAAGTGTGCACTGCAAACGACTCCTGGAGGGATAAAACGGCCCTACAGTGCCTTTCCGTATGAGCAGTAGATATCCAACTGGGTCAAGATGCGATGAGTTTCGACTTATAATAGTAGAATCGCCACCCGACACCTTTGTGACTGGTATCTGCAAGCTTCAGCGCATACGCGTGTACGGGTTTGTAACGTAAGGACGCTACCCTGCTTTCGTATGTAAATGCGTCCCTAATGAGGCTGAGATGGACGGCAGCACACACAGTGCGTCAGATAGGCGAAATGGGGTGCGTTGCTGCAGCGTTCTGCTCGATGTTGTCCACATTCACGCTAGCACTGGAAAGCGATTGCAGCACAGGACGTCGATCGAAATGATCTCACCCATATTGCCTTCCTATGCTTTTTAGTGAGTGATCAATCAAACAGTGAATGAAGATATCTGTGGCAGTGAGCCTAGGTCGTTGTACGTTGTTTGTTTGATCGCGATGAAAGCGGAACTATCGTGCTGGGAAAAACTCGTGTTTGTGGGCAGATGAGCCTTAAGAGTTAATTCAGACTGCCTCTGTTTTAGAGGAGGGACAGCAAAAGTCTGCGCCAAAATCATGTAGTCGATAAAGAAGCTCCGAAGTCTAAAATACGCGAAAGGACAACTAAACTGGTCATTAGTTCTACGGCTAGGAAATCCACCTGCTTATAAAATCGAAGTTCCGTACGTACTAAATAATATAAGCTTGTACTCCTTACTAATCCATCTGAGATAGGCTTTCTGGAGAGTAATGCACCGTGACGAAAACGAGTTTTTATGCCCTTGTGGTAATCACTATTATATGCGCCAATGTATCGAGTGCGTGGGGTCACTAGAAAAGATCAATGATCAAATTTGACTATCGTGTAAGTGCGGCATTACCTGTCCGTGTAAAAGAGCCTTCTGTTCCTCTGCCTTCTTTTGTTTCCAGCGGCGAAACCACTCCTGAATGAGAAACGTTGCATAAAACTTGCCCACCGTGACGTCATCGTTTCCTGTGGAGAGCAGAGGAAGAGCGGACGACCGCGTTATAGGGATGCGCGGGATTGGTCGGTCCTAGGGCAGCCGTTTCGGCTGACAATGCTAACGGACAAACTCGGACAAGACGCAACATGCAATAAACAACTCAGTGTACAGCATTCTGCTACCGGGGTTATTCAGTGGACTGAGTCACAGGTTGTAAACAGGTAGATTTGATAAGAGAGCGAGAGCAAGGTTTGGAAGGTGGAATGATCATATGTGGAAATAAAACACGACATATAACGCCGCATGCCGCGTGGACAGGTATATTACTAACCATGCAAAATAGCCACAACTAAAAGGTAGGCAATTGAGACGCCAAGTACGTGTAGGGGATATTGATAAACTAGGTACCAATCACAGAGTATACCACGCTCCAGTAATCAGCACCAAGCTGTATTCCTAACCACATCGATTGTCTAAAAACATAGCGATGCATATTGAAATGGCTTCCAAAGAGAATGTACTACCAAAGCTTTATTTGATGCTGTTGCAGCTTTAAACTAGCCCACAATAGGCATCTGTACTACCAAGCGATGATTATGTAAGCACGTGGCGTTGTGTCGATCCTTAACACTCATCCAAACACGAATACAAATCCGTGAAAAAGGCAGTACGCAGTACCGACACTCCACTGCCAAGCAGCCACCATCAAAGAGAGCAAATGAGCTAAGGGTACTGCAAGGGTCGCCCCGTCTCTACTCAGGCTCGAACCCACGCCCTTAAGGCTACGGACCAGGGACAAAGATGATTCGGGTTCGGTAGTCGAGATTGTTATTAAAGATAGTTCAGTACTCTGGTCGGATTTCGGCATCACCGAGAGCAATAAAAGTCCACAGGACAGGATATTGCTGACTGGCTACCCTGCCACCATGTCAATGCATAATTGCCAAAGGCTGAGTGCGCTGACTAAAGGTGGCCTAATAAACTGGTATCGTTCAGCAGCTGTATGGGCTCTAATTCTGCTGAGCCGGAGCGTGAATAATGGTAAATCCAGCTAGTGTAGTCATCCACTGTCATCCTGCTCACTTGTAGTGAGCATCGAGATTTGCATTAACAAGCGCAATTCAATAATCTGTTAGCAATGGAAATAAAGTAGTTGTGGATGTGTGTGCTGGTGTGTTAGGTTGTGCTCAGGGCTCACGCAGGTTCTGCGTCTTTCCTACACATGAACATTTCCATCCGCATTCACCGAAATACAAGAGACGCTCCACTGCATGGTTGTGCGATGTAATTAGACTAAAATGCATATATTTTGGTAACAAAGTCCTCTTTAATAATGAGGATAACTTACCTGTCGGATCATCCGGAGAAGTTTCAGTATTCATCAGATAATACTACACTGCTTCATTGCTGCTCCTGACAGTTCGGCGCCGCCTTTAAGTGGTGGCGATTTCCATTGGAACGCCAGTATAGGTTGCATGTACCATTCTGCGTGACGTGTTAACCTACGGTTTTTTTAATCCGCAATACATTATTGATCAATGACCGGTAAAAATACTTAGGGGATTTGAAAATTTAAGTTCGAACCTTAATGGTCCAGGTGGAAGGAACGCAGCCCATTAACCTCAGTTTTGGGAAGCAGAACAGGTGTCTGATTGAGACCGGAGATAAGGAAGACCACTCGTTAAAAGCGAAGAGACAGAATACTATAGTTAGAAGTTTATTTTCACGCGCTCGCTAACCATTTTTGCTGCCTTTTTCGCAAGGAATAACAGTAAAAAGCATGGTTGCTCCAGTCTGTATGCAAAACTCGATTGACTAGCTGGCTAGCCGAACAACTGCCACGTGGTGTCAGCTGGGTGATTCTGGCTAATCCCGTTCCAGGGAATAATTCGGCGGCAGTGTTCCAGGACGTGGTGGGTTCATCTGGCGAGCGTTCTCCCTATAAAAAGCTACAAAGGTCCGTTTAACGACACTGCGGCGTGGCGGATGTGACTTACCACTAAATAGTCACTGACTCTTCCCCATCCGGAGGATCCCCACTTCATAAACGTCATCCAATTCGAAGAGTTCGAATGATTCCTTCATACGATGGGGAACACAGCAAACGAACTCAAGAATTCAGTCACACTTCGCAAGTACACTTACCATGCCCACTAACACATATACTTATCTATATACAGACACACAAATCCAGTATGTTACCGGTTGACATGCTATATTTTTATGCAATTACTGACCATACCTGTTTGTATTATCATGTCCATGCCTTCGCAGGCGCGCCCCGCATTGTCCGGAATAAAACATTTATTTATTTAGTTAGGAAGTTAAGGGTAATTGTTTGGTTTGGTGAGAGAGGATCAAATTCCGCTACTTTTCTGGAAGCATGGGAGTTCGCTTGGCCGGAAGCTTATCGCAATGAGCAGTTTATGACTTACGGTCCTCATTATGAGCCTCAATGCTCTCGTCTCAATTCTGAAATGGAACACATCAGTGTTAGCGGGAGTTGCTATGGAAACCTGGAGCTCCAGTGAGCCTGAGAAGTATGTGCTTCGGTTTGGCTGCAAGTCACAATTATACAAATGGATAAGGTCAGCACTTGGATTGTAGTTCCCTTGCGTTGGACTAAACGGACATGGACCAGTTAACTTCAATTTCACTAACGCAAACTGGTTCTCCATCATTTGAGCCATCTGCAGATTCGTGCCGTAGATTGCTGTGGCAGTGAGGACGCACCTCGCCAGGTTCGCGTGGAATGTTTCACATGGTAAACCGTACGTTAATCATGGTCCAGCAGGTCGTGTTCTCTGAAAGCAAATACGATTCATGTAGGCCAATGGAGCCGACGTCGCTTGATGTGGGCCGTGAGTTATTTGTAGCCTACTAGTTGAGCGGGCATTTGATATTAGGCGACAGAGAAGATGTTTCGGATCTAGCAATGAGACAGTGGATGTGTGGTTCCACTGTACTGACAGTACTTGGATGAACCTTGGAGCCACACTTAACTGTTTCACAAATAGCTTTTTGGTTAACCTCGCATTTGCAACGTCGGACATGCGGTCACAAATTTGATTTCTCGGCGTTTACAAGGATAGTTATCAACAGCTTTACAGTTTACTAGCTGTAAGTAGGAGCGGATACCAGGGGACTGCCCTTCAGTGAATGGTTCATAATTCCTGCCTGTGATAGCGTAGTAGAGACAAGAGATGGATCGGGTGCCGAAGAATTCTCCAGGTAATTCAGACATGAAAAATATGGAACTTTGGCTAGGTGAAATAACCTACTCTGATTGCGACATGAGGTCTCAAATGGAACAGTCCCAAAAATCCGTATGGTTAGTTTGCTCTTAACGAAAACCTCGATTCACAATGAGGCTGTCTATAATAATCCAGGTATTTTAAACTAATAAAATAAGAATTGTGCTCCGACTTGTTTGCGCAGTTTTATAGTCTAGTAGCGGAAGGAGCAACAGACAACCTAAGCGCAGTGGGTTCTCTGATGGAGATGAGTGGACTGGATCAAAGCGCCGAACCAGGGAGTCGATGGGGGGAGAGAACCGAATTGATTCTGTCACTGGTCCTATCTAACGTACTCGCCAACCTGCGCCGTTCAGCTAATTGGTTGATAACATTTGGCTAGAATACACTGGCTAATGTGTTTTATGGAAACAAACCCAAGAATGCCATTTGCTGTAATGTACGACAGCGGTATCGTTGTTTATGGATACGACCCGTTAGGAGTGCACCGTGTAGGCTGTCTGCTTCGCGGATTCGGATTGACTGTTAAGCCGTTTGTCCGATCCCCAGCTCAATGGATCTGAAAAAGTCCAAGCAAGAGCGAGTCGGGTTATGGCGACATCAGCAGTACGACGGTGGGCAGTTCCGACACGTCGCTGGCGCGCAACCACCACCAGTCACATATGGACTGATACCTCGATGGTCAACTTGTCCCTATGCACGCTCGAACCCGCGCCCTGGGATTACAAAGCAGGCTTCTGTTCTCTAAGATAACGGGCAGGGTTATGGAGTGTAAGGTTGAATAGTAGAAAGCATCACCGCTTGTGTAGTCAGATGCAATGCGGATCGCATTAATCAAAGTGGATGAACAGTGGCCTCTTTCGTAAGCAACTGCTATAACTCCCGTGACCATACTTTGCTTACCCGTGATGGAGCTGTAGGCTATCGGGCGCGTTCCCAGGTTGCGGATCGGAAAAGCCTTCCTTGTAGGGGTAACTGCTTTACAAGCGAGATGAAAAAGCAGTCGTGGACAATCAGCGGCAGCGTCTCAGAGCATGAGGAGTTATAGGCTAGACACTTGGTTCTCCGTCAAATACCATAAGAGCTCGTACCGCGTTGTGTCAAAACCAATGTGACCGCCTCTAGGGACACTTCTGTAATTGTACGTGAGTATTTAACGGAGGACGGATGAACAACCTTGCTGGCCACCGGCTTCTGCGTGGAATGCTACGGAACACAAAAAATGCAAATGAGCCATGTGGCTGTCACCGGTCTTCGTATTCGCCCCGCTGCCTTGCGGACCAGGTCTTTAAGACCAAGTGCTCGGGTTGGGGTCCCTTAAATCAACCTTCTCCCTCGGCCTGGGCAACCGGGAAGCTCCCTGCCCACACAACACTTGGATATTCGTATATATATATATATATATATATATATATATATATATATATATATATATATATATATATATATATATATATATATATATATGTACTTTGCTTACGTGCTCGACACATCTTGAAAAAAGCTATGTAGGGCGTTGAGGTGATGATATATCAATCCTAGAAAACACCAAACAGAAGACAAAATCATGCGACGAATTAAAGAAAAGAGAGCTATGGAGAATAAAATCAGGGTAACAATGTTGGCTGATTCCACAACACAAGGATGCATGCCGAAAGAGACTGTGAGAGACACGGTTGACACATTCAAAGCCGGAAACACTGTAGGGTGAAATGGATGAACAAATGAAAGTGCGAATGCTTCATCAAATTGACTGTTGGTCGTGGATTGAAAGAAGAGCATGGAAAAAGTGAACTATTCGCAGTCCTATTATGCTTAACAGGAAGAGTAACCCAACGCTCAGCCAAGATAAGACAAGGCAAGATCAATAGGTGGTTTGGATTTCTGATGATCGACCAACCGGGAGCGATTGATAATTTCTGATGCCTTGGATTGATGCGTACTCGACCCGTGCGTCTTTCATCTCTGGTTTTTGTTAGATCTCCAGGAAGTGCAACTTAGAACTCAGAAACACATTGGGGTGTAAGTGATCAGGGATAAAAAGCACAAAAATGTTCACCAACAGAAAAATGAAAAGAGTTCGGCCGTTGCAAATCGACGAGAGACCAGACCACGTGAAGCGCGAGAAGGTCCTCGTCCTGCAAGATCAACTTTGGCCGACCAGAGGCGTTTTAACCTCGTGATCTTCCATGCGCCTGAGTAAAGTGATCCAACTCCCCGGGTAGGATACGAGCACGACGTCCAGTTTTTACAGAGCCTAATTGATAGACTCCTTGACGTGAGGGAGGACGGGTTGGAAGTGTAGCATATCAGACAGCTTGGAAAGAAAGGTTATCAAAAAGTCGATCAATGAGAATCACCTTTGTGGACGTAGTCAGTCCGAGGCTTATCTTGCCCCGATTAAAGAGGTTGAAAGGTCTAAAGCTCCATGTTCGTTCAGCCTTAGATCCGGTGGATCGAAGAGGACTCAAGTCTGCCATCATTGAAATGAAGAGACGAAATGGTGTTGGGGAAAGAAATCTCCGTATCGTAAATTTTCGGGTCGTTTCCAAGATTCCGCGAATCAGGATAAGCACGTCGCTCACACTTCAAGTACGCCCGGTGATTGCTGCTGCCGCCTGCGTGTAGCCTTTAGCAACATTTGTAGTCTTATGAACAAGCGCGATTAACTCTGTCGCTTCGTTGCATCTGGGCGGCAAGACATAATAGGACTCGCACAGACGTGGCTGGATTCTGAGGCGATAGTCCAGGAAATCGAACTCAGTGGCTACTTGTGCTTCCGCTGCGATAAACTATCGACAGCCCGTGGTGGCGTTTTGCTCTACATCCGGTCTTCCCTGTGTGGGAGTTGTGAGTGTCTACAGAAGTCATGATGGTCCGTGTGAGCAGTTGTGGTGTTCGATCCACCTCAGACGCGGGGAGCTGCTAGTGGGTGCATTTTATCGCAGTCCCCTGAGCCGTTGTTTGGATTGGCTGTCGCATCTCTGAAGCCACATGAGTCGTCCCCATTTTCTACTAGTGGGTGATTTCAATTATTCTCGGAAACGCTACAAAGAAGTTGAACTTATGCCAAGACATTGCGGGGTCGAAACAAAGTTCGTGGACTTAGTACTTGAAAGTGGAGCAGC